TTTACGTTGGTACCACGCGGGAAAGACCGCCCATTTTGGGGATAGAGGCCCGTACGTGCATGTAGATTAAGTCCCCGAGCCCGTACGTGCATGCAGATTAAGTCCCCAAAGTTTCAGCCCCGTAGCTTTTGCCGGTCTCGAGATGAAAAATTTGTAGATTATACCCTCAAAGTTTCAGCCCCGTAGCTTTTGCCGGTCTCGAGATGAAAAATCGGTACAGTCCCAGCGCACACACAGACACACAAACACACACACACAAACACACACACAGACACACAAACACACACACACAAAGACACACACAGACACATACACACAGACAACCTCTCGTCAATATGCGCTTTTCGCATTGCATTGCTGCAAAAAACGCATAAATATGAAGACATGTGTGCCATGTTGCCAACACAAAAATCCGTCTACATACAAGCTAAGCATTCTTTGTACGTAAGGGGCGGCAATACATCAATTTAGTGTGCAGATTTTTTCTTTCAATTTAAATGGCATTTCGATAGATGCTAAAATTAGCCTACGATTCGACTAATTTTTGTATTGCTGTGGCAGACAATCTGGCACTCTGCATCCTGACTTTAAACCCGCCTAGCAGGGTGTACCGGATTTTCTCCGCCATCATGCATTTTTGCAGTCTGAAATTTGCCGTGTCCCTGTGCAAGACATTAGCTCGTGTGAAAGCTGCTATTGCGTTTCTCGTGTCCTACAGAACCAGACAATATTCTGTGGGAGCTTCTTATCTACCTGAATGCCGAGAGAGTAGTGTGACGACAGCGTCGCAGTTTGAACATTTGATAAGTCTGTACGCCAGGTAGATGCATAAGCAAAAGCCTATTTTACACCTGCTGTCTTGTACATGGACAGCAAATATCCCCAGAAAAATACTGCTTCCTGCTCAGTCTGATTACCGAAGTAACTGGGTGCCAGTAATGCCTTGAATCAAATATTCACCTACGCTCGAGATCTGGGAGTGATTTAAAGATGAATTTAAAATACCCAGGCCGCATACTGGCACAGAATATCCCAGTAAATTTCCAGGTCCTTGGCCTAAATGAGTGAGGAAATCGTATTTCAGTACATCTTTGCGGCTTAAATTTCGGCTTTGCAGTACTCGAATGCGCGATGCAGGCCATTTTATGCCTAAATGCCGCACGGAAAACAAATATTCTCGCAAAATAACAGCACTCTAATCAGATTAGTTTTCGAGTTGGCATTTTGCCAGCTGTGTCGAAATTTCAATTTTGGCGTGTTGTAGGCATGCATTAAATGCGAATTTTAAAAGGACATAGAACATTCCTGTGAAATTTCGGCTTATTTTGTCTGGTTCACGAAATCATTTTCCCGCTAAAAAATTCAATTTTACTTTCGGAGTCTGTACTTTACACCCAAGAGTAATTAAACTACAATTTTAAAACAGGAAGATAGTGCTTGAAGTAGGCACGTGTTTTAAAGCTTCAGTTTCCTAATTTCTTTAGGTGCTCAGTTGAAAGTGGGTGACAAAACGTAAAGACACACGACGCACGCACGCACGCACACACATATGCATGCACGAACACACACACGCCCAGAGAGACAACCTCCTGCCAGCCAACAGGTGTCTGCATTTATATAAATGTGCAAAAACATAAAAACTATGGAAATAACAAGGGACATCTTACAAGAGATCATTAAAGGATGCTACTTCTCAGCACAAGCTCGATCGGACAAATACTGATTCTCTTTAAACTTCCACAAGCACTAAGCAAACACCAACACGTCAGTTACAAGATATTAGGAGTGAATTACCTTTTTTATTAGCTGGTGCCTTTTACACCACAACAAAACTTCTTTGCCTTTCAGTGCATTTTAGCACTTGCTGCTAATCTGCAGCCTTTTAGCTAAGCTATGAACCAATTTAGCTAATTTTGTTCATCTGCTAACTTTTTGTCTCCCCAGCCAAATTTTGTGCCTCTTAGCATAAATTCCTCGCCTGATCTCACTGTGCTTCGTACGCCCTCCGTCAGTTTGCCTTTTCCCTGCAGACGTCCTCTTTATACAATTTCCTCTGCTTGCACAGATAACTTTACTCTATCTAATGACTTCATGCATATATATATATATATATATATATATATATATATATTCAAATCATCAGCTTCAAATATATATATATATATATATATGAAGCTGATGAACCCGAATCTTGAAAAGCACGAAAGCACGTCCCAATATTGGCGGCGCCTCTCAGATTCCCCCAATTTTTTTAAAAATATTTCTGAGCGTTGTGGTGCTTGATTATGCTATTTTAAGTACATTCGTTTATCTTTAAATGTTAAATGGTTTAAACCTTCCTGACTAAATCTGGTATGTTTTTTATTAAATTTCATGCTTTTCTAACTAAACCCACCAAATCTCGAGCTGAATCTGCATATCTTGGCTGCTTCTGCATATTCGTTTTTCTTGTGCTGATTAATCTGATGTCCCACCAAAATAAAAACAGACTGCTGTCTCCCACTTCTTCTCCCTCCTCTTCCCTCAAAGCTCAGAAACACTTTTGGAAGATGTGATGAAGTGGGGCACCTAATATATATGCGATAAAGTTGGACGCACAACTATATGTATAAATAGACTGAACAGTCCGATGAGACGGCAAAGCGGACGCAAAGAGAAAAATGCGAGTGGTTGCCTTCCTCGAGGCACAATCCACCATTTATCAACCACCTGCTGTGAATCTTGCCACATATTTATGAGCAATAAAGTGATCGTCACCGCGAGCCGAAAATCGGTCTCCGCGACTACTCACAGAGAAGGATTGGACGTACTGTTTCAAGGATGTTGCCCACTTATCCACTTTCACCCCGCAATAAATATTTGCGTGGACGTAAACATGCTTGCCTGTGCAGGACTGCATATGGGAACTGAGAGATCTGGTTGCAAAAGCGTTAACACTTAAACTAGGTGCTATACAGAAAGCGCAACAGTGTTTACAGTGCGCCAAAGGAAGAAGCACGTTTGAGGTGGAGCAGGCTGGACCCCTTCACCGAGCTTCCAGATTCGTAGCTTCTCAATTTTACACCTT